AGAGAGAGAGAGAGAGGAATGCTGATTAACAAAGAGAGAAGAGATATAGATGTGATAGGATAGAAAAAATTAGGGTTAGTAAAGTATTGGATTAGATTGGAAGTCATCAAATCTGATTCGAAAGAGAAGTTAATAAGGAGAAGAAATGGGAGAGACGAGAGCTTGCTTATGTTGACCTTGAGACTTGGATCCTCTGGCTCTAGTACCACAAGGAACTTTTTCAACAAGGAAGAGCGGTAGGACAATATGAGACTTTATCAATTGATGTGTAGATCCAAGTACATTATGTGTGTGTGTGCGCACGTATATATGCACACGCATGCGAGCGTGTCTGTGTTAGGGTGGAGAGCGATTCACTCTTATACCCTAATGTATATGAGAAACTAAAATGATGGACATTACATAAATAATAGACACATAAGTAGTGAACGTTACAATTATGCCCCAGTACAAGGACAAAAATTTCAAATAGCTAATATCAAATAACTCAACTTGTAATTTAAGTTTGACATTTTTATCTTGTAAATCTTTTGAGTCCTGACTTTTGTGACATTATGTTTGGTAAATAATGGTCTGGTCAATATGAATACTGGAGTATGCATTGACCATAGCATATTTTCATGTAAAGACAGATTGTTTACATAACTATTTAGTGATTCATACAATTTTATATGAATTTTGGGCAAGTTTAAAGCTTCTAAAGTTTCAGTAATTTAATTTCGAGTTTCGAACTCAAGTATGCATAAGTTTGAAATAGTGTAACACATAAAAACACACAAAAGACCTTAAAAAAAATTTCTTTTATTTTTTTAAGTACTTGTTCTATAGGGTTTAAGTAGGGAGGCTTTATATTCAACCAAAACCCCCATCATCATCCTTATGGGCCCAAAAATTCTCCTTTTGGTTTGGGCCACAAAGGAAACTAGAAGCTCGCTTAACACAGATAGGTTTTGAAGAACAATAAAAATCAGAAAATTATAAAAAAGGAAACGTTGTAACAACTGCATTAAATTAGGAGTACCAAAACAATAAAAAAATTGCATGTCCAACTAAATTTAAACACTTTACACATCCCGAATCTCATAATTATCTTCATTAACATCATGATATGAAGACATTTGTAGAGAGGTCCTTACCAACAATCAGAAAACATCTTCTGAATTACTTTCCTAACTAGACCTATTTTTCCCCAAAGACCTGGGAAAGGCATAATTATGCCACGTACAATCAAATATATCAACTATGGGTGCCTTTTCATCATCTCACCTCTTTATGACTCAAAAAAGCGGCAGATGTTCTTCCACCTCGAAGATCCCAAGCGTAGATATTGCCACCATCACATGCCCCATATACGATCTATAATTTGACCAAAAAGAAAAAAAAAAAGATCTATGAGTTTACGTCCAAGCAGACCACTATAAAGTATATAGGATAATACAAACATGAGAAGAAACCAGTCCTCATGAAGCATGAGGTGTAAGAGTTGCATTCAAAGGATTTCGACATGATTTCTTACAATAGATTTGAGTGTCTTTTATAGTGTGGGATTGTCGCATTTGCATATGGTTGAATTTTTTTGGATGGATAATTAAAGTGGTAATAGATAATAGGAGTATGAGTTTTTTATGATAGGAGCAGGAGTAGTTAATTTGGTGAGCTGTTCGACATTTCGTACAAGTTTAGGGAATTAAAAAATTATTTTATTGGAATCGAACAAAGAGAAACCTGACCCAGCATGGAGGCATGAAAAACAGATCTTACTGGAGGGAGGTATGACAATGTTTTTCTATATTTCAAGAAAAACATGGAGGGGGCCTACACAAGGTCAAGGAGCATTTGGCTCACAAAATTTGCAATGTGAGCCCAAAGGGACACACCCAATGTAAAGGAATGCATAACGTTAAACCAAACCTAAAATGGATATAGATAAAATGGATATCTACAAAACAAATAAACTCCAGGTCTCTCCTCTTTCACTCTAGAGATATCCTTGTACAGTTCCTTTTCTATATCAGCTGGTTGATCAATTTACTAAGCTCTATGCCACTCAGCATCAATTGTTGATGGGTAGAAGGTACCTAAAATCCACTGCATCAGTACAAGTGGGGCATGAAAGTAAACAAAATAAGCGTTATTTCCATTCCTCATAATTACTATATTCTATGATTGTATGTTCTTTATGCAATTCATTAACCATACGAGGGTACATAACTAGTAAAAAATGACGCAAGGGGACCTGCATCATAAAGTATTGCAACCATGTTGCATAAGTATGAATGGGATATGGGACCCTCTAAAAATACAATCCATTCACCTCTTCTCCACCTGGACTAATTAAGTGCTATTTCCTCCCAAAACTACAGCCTCCACTACATTTCATTTCTAGTACTTAAATCCTTTTAAGTATTCTTCAGTCAATAAATGTATCCATAGTTTCCATAGTGAACCAAAAAATGTAGGCAGTGGTGTCCATTAATGCATAAAATGTTCAACTACAGAAATACTTCACAAATGGGTCCACGAGAATACATAAATCACGTTGAAAAGGTACGAGGGAAATATCAACACTCTTTAGAAGGAATGGATTTCCTAACAGCAGCAGTATTTTGACCAAAAAAGAGTTATCAAGATCTGAGGTCACAATGCATTCTTGTTTGTTTGTTTGTTTGTTTATTCATTCATTTTAGTTTAGCAGGGTTCAAACACTACCTCAAGAATAGGAACATCTTTAAAGAGAATAAGAACTATTAGATATAACATATAAAAAAATCCACATAACTTTCATGTCAACGAGCAAAACAAAGAAGAAAAATAATGATATTCAATGAAGAACGCTCGTACAAAGTTAAAAAAGCCAAATATTGTTGATCAATCTGAAAATACATGATTAATATTCACGTTTTTATTTTCATGTAGACAATACAAAATAAATATGCTAATGAGTACAAAAATGTAAGCTACTAACCTGCTCATCCATACTCAATTCTAAGCTATTAAGTTGCTTGCCAGGATTGGGAATGCTGATCTCAAGACATGGAAAGTTATTCATCCTCCTATCCCATATGTAAAGAACCCCATCCATACCAGATGCAAGCACTCTACATGAGAAAGCCAAAGGGAACTCAAATAATGGAAGGAGAGAATGAGAAGTATATCTAGTAGCAGTAGTAAACCTAAGTATAAATTCATGGAAAACTTGATGCAAATTGTAAAACATAAACAAGCACAACGATATATGACAAAAGCATGCGCTGCTCTATTTCAAATGTTATCTGAAGGCTTTAGATGTAGCTCTTCCACATATGGAATTTAAAATTTTTTCGTACACATGGAAGATTACTTAGAAAGCCAATTACAAACAATTACAACAAGAAATGCATGACAAATACCACAAAAACAAACTTGAATATAGCTAAAACAAGACCCAAGGACTCACACTAGCATACTCCATTCATTAACACTTTAGAGATTGCGATATCACATACTATGTTAACAATACAAATATTCAGCACATATATTACATAGAATCACCTCCAGCATAAACCACAACTTCAATACATGGGCACCACTTCATCTCTTTTACATCAAGACATAAACACAAGTAAGAAGATCATGGAACAATTGGAAGCCAAAAATACAGCCAGAGCCCTAAGATTACCTCAAAGGTTTTGCAGCACCACAAACCGGATCACTTGGTTCGATAGTGCTTGGATCGTGGCCCCTCTTGCTCCAACCATGGAAGAACCAAGAACTCCCGAATCCACTCAAAGGTCTCCCCAAATGGCTAAGTGAATGTAGGAAAAGTGGGCTGGAACTTTTCTCACTTGATGTGCTAAGAGGGAACAATGCTCAAAAAACAAAGCAATCAACCACAAAACTAGTATACTACAAGGGGGCTCACAGTACCAATTCAATGAAGACCAAGGAGCAGCCAAAGGTGACTGAAAATTATGAAAGATGTCGCTGGCTTCAGTCACTTAGAGGTGGCATGGGGGTAGACAGCGGGCGTTGAATCAACTTATGCACAAAGGGTGTGATGGAAGATTCTAGTATAGAGTAGTTTGTAATGGGCTCTTAGACTTTTTGTTATCAATGAAGTAAGATTGCACAAATAAGTAGTGAAGCGATTTAGTTAACCGACAATCAAGTAATAGAAGCCCTTTGAGAGCTAGACAAGACCCAATGAACTAGCCCCAAGGAAGTTTCATGTAATTTTCGTGACCTCATTCCTCAATAGAACGACAATGCGAAAATTCTTTGTATCTCATCCCAACTTTTTCCTTCTCTCTTGTTGCCCTCTCTTATTGCCTTCCTTTAAAACTAGTTACAAATCACAATTCACAAGATGTGTAAGTTGTGAACTATAAATTATATAAGAAATTAAGGCATTTAGAAAGTTTGTAGGTCATAAAAAAAATGGAGATCCATACCCCATGTATATGAACCAAAAAATGTGTTGTTGGAACGCTCATTAACATAGGGAAATCGTGGTTCCACTTACTCATGAAACGATGATTCTTGGTATAGGGATATGGGTCCCATTAACATAGGATCAAGATCCCTGATTTCATGGATAGAAACCCTTAATGTCAAGGAATAGCTCGGAATCAAGATATTGCGTTTCCCTGTAAGTATGGATAACAGAGAGAGATAGCCTAAGGCCTTGTTTGACAACTGAGAAAACAAGAGAAAATGATTTGTTCTCTCAACCATTGTTACTTTCCCTAGTTTGGGTGCAAAGAAAGGTGGGGAAAAGTGGCATGCATTTCTCTGCTTTCCCATTTTTAGGGAAAGTCCCATCCCCTCAAAAAGGTAGGCAACAAACTTCCATGAAATTGGGAACCACAGAAACAACCTTCCCCTCTCTTATTTCATTTTTATCCCTAGCACGAGCTCCGTTCTTTCTCTATCACCCAAGCCCGCTTCTCTCTCTCTCTACCTATGCCGCCCACTTTCTCTCTCCTTTGCAACCCAACCTTCTCTCTCCCACCCCCCCCCCTTTAGTTTCATAGAAGTTACCAAAACCAAACAAATATTCCCAATTTCCATGTCACCAATTTAAACAGGCTCCTAGTTTCCCAGATTTTCCAGGAAAACAACTTTCTCAATTACCAAACATGGCCTGCGAGTGATGTGGGGACTAAGTAAGGAGGCTAATGCAATTTTGGCAGCATAACACTACTTTGGGGAGTTGAAAAAATGCTGTGCCCAAGGCCCTATTATAGATTGGATTAGGGTTTAATGAGATTTAAAAATGTTCTTCTTAACTTGGAGCAAAATATGTCATCAGTCTTAATGATCTATGGGGTGAAGAGAACATCGCAATCCAACCAACCATCCCTCAGCTACTATCACAAATCAAGGTGGATATCACACCAAGGCATTCCATGGCGGACTACTCCCACAACCACAAGCTACATTCTCAACTGGACCCAACAATACACATGACCCCTAGTCGCATATGTCGGGGCTCATGCTTGGACCATGAAAGCATGCCAATAGGTGGCAGGATTGCAATAATATCATTGTGGATTATAGGTGCCCCCCTAAGGAAAAGGTCAAGCCACACTCGGGCATGTGCTCCACAATACAAGGTGCATGGTACTTCTCTTTGGCACAATGTGCACGTCCTATTCGAGTCCTCTCTAAGGAGGCAGCTTCCCGTACATCGATTGTCATATGCACATCCCATAGGGTGTAGTGTCAAGGCGTCGGCCCTTGTCATCACAGTCCCTCGACCCCATACAGGAGTTCGTCTTCCTCCCAGTTTCCCATGGGCATATCTCCAACTTTGATAAGGGATGACCTAAAACCCTTCTCAGAACGAACCTCCTCAGCCCCCTGATGCCCGTGGTTCTAGGTTTTCGTGACTTTAGACATCTTTATGGGCCCTAGACCACCAAGGCCAATGAGTCACAACGAGCAAGTCTTACTTTCCCATCTTGGATGGGCAAAACCACATCCTCAATTTCCCTTTGGGAAGTATAGAGAATTTGTCAAGGGAAATCCACTATATCTACAGAAAAGCACCATCCTGGCCAAACCACTATTGACAGCCACAAACAAATGAACATAATTCTGCAATGCATAACGCGTTTATCATTAAATATACGCAGTAGATGAGGTTTCATGGAATCATTCATTAGTTAGTATGCCCATAAACTCCAAATGCAACTGTGGTGCCGAACAAAAGAACATCACTTGAGAGTGATATTTGGCAGCAATATACTCAAGTTGTAGCAAGATGAAGCTTTTGTAGCCTACTATAAGGAGGTGACACAATGACGTCAGCACAAGCAGAGTCCAAAGTGAAACCCCAGGTGTAGCTGCTGCCGTTCAACTTACCTCAACCTACTGAACTACTGAGGTATTCCATGGGATAGGCAGCATTTCAGACCTTGAAAGCATAAATTGTCAGAAGAAGCTAGTCTTTTGCAAAGAAAGGTCAACCAGTAAGAAGTGAACCAGGAAAATTCAAAATGCTTGGTTTTGGAGTGTATGGCAAGAAAAGTAACGGTGGTGGAGGGACAAAACTTGTGAGGCTGTTAGTATAGGAAAAGCTGTTGGACAAGGTGAAAGTGAACAAATGGGAGCAAAGACAATTCAACTTCAGAGACTGGAGGTGAACATCTAATAGGAAGTAAAGCATGGCCTTCTTTCAACTCTCAAGTAAACTCCTAACCTTACCAAAGAACAAGGAAAAGCAAGGAAGAAAAAAAGGAAATTATGTACTAATTGTAAGGACCGTTCCCAATGTTCAAACCACAACTATCATAGATGATTTTTGCCACAAGAACTGCAATATTAAGAATTTCCTTCTTTCAACTCTCGAGCAAACTCCTAACCTTACCAAAGAAAAAGGAAAAACAAGGAAGAAAAAAAGGAAATTATGTATTAATTGTAAGGACCTTTCCCAATGTTCAAACCACAATTATCATAGATGATTTTTACCACAAGAACTGCAATATTAAGAATTTCAAGCACTATACCCATCAATCAATAACCCAAAGCAGCAATAGCTTAGCCATAAATAAATATGTTAATAATGTTAAAAGAATCTAACATAAGTTCACAATCTTAAAGAAAATTGAACATCTAGTCTAACGAATAGAACATCAAACAGTTAAAAAATCCATATGGAAAGGCCATTAAGTTTAAACGAACTCCAAAACAAGGTGTAAAAATTTCAAGGACAGCTATTCTGTTTAGAAAACAAAAACTTACCTTGATTTGTCATTTAGGAAAAAAGTTAAATCCGAAATACCTATCAATCCTTCACCACGTTCCATGGTAGAAATTAGCTTTTTGCTCAAGATCTACAATGAAATAGAGTAGATAACAGCCATTAGATGAGGCAGAGAATGTGGAAACAAGTCTCACTCAAAAAAGTAAACCCTTATTCATTTAGAAAATAAATAAAGATAAGTGACAAGTACAAGAAATGAAGAGCAAATAAGGAGAAGCTCAAAATGGAAAATGATTTGCAAAATTATCACAAAATAAGCATGTTTATAGTTTCAGTCAGATTTTTCCACTACAGTTTGGCCATATTTTTAAGAAAAAAATAAATAAGGAAGAAAACATGTATCCAATGAGCCTCAACTTGTACCAATTCAAGCTGAAACATGCCAGTCGGGTGGAATCCAACATAGGATAGACCAGTTAGAATTAGACTTTCTTTTATTACCAGAATTGCCAAAGTTGGGAATACATTGATGAAAATCAAATTTAAAAGATTGGCTGAATGAACTTTATTTTTATTTATTTATATTTTTCACAGGTGTGGGCGCAAACTTTTTAGTGACATTGGCTGAATTTTGGGACTTGAAGCATGAAAGAGGTTAAAAGGGCATTTGTTTTTGTGCATTGGGTAGGATTGCAAATATTTTAGTTTTAAGATGACATGATTCTTCTAGATTAGTTAGAATCTATTTTGGAAAAGCTTTTGTTCATGTAGGAGAGGGATTCAGAGAGACGAGGCGTGAAATAAGGGAACTCATAAATTAAAAGGTGGTACAGCTTTAGAGAGAGGACTCGAGTTAACTTTTGGGTTTTTATTTTTGCCTATATTTAGAGATGGAAAGTTTCCCCTCAACTTGGATTTGATTCTACAAGAATTTCTTTTCAGGAGGGAAGAGTGCCTCTTTGGAGAAGAAGAGAGCTTCTTCTTTTGGGTACAGCCACTTATCTTCTCCTTGTGTGGCTGATTTTTGCATGCGCCAACAAGGACACCCTTGTCCAACAAAGTCATGAACACAAAAGAACAGACGTTTCAAACACACTGCATGAATTGTAGCTAGTAATGAGTGCGACGTGTGCAGATTTCATAGATAAAGTTGCCACAATATGCCAAAACAATTCAAAATGAAATTTTCATACAATATTGTTCCCAACAACTTACAAAATTCCAAGAAATTATGTATAAAGTGGTAGCATTTTAATTTTAGAGGTAAAAGTAAACTAAAGCCCGTAGGTAGACAAAGTGTGGGATATGAAATGACTAGTGCATGGCTTATAACATTCGTAACAAAGGACTACTGTACTTACTACAGATGGTTCTGCAGAAACATAGCCAATATCAAATATAAAAACTTTAGAACTACGCTCTGATGCACATGCAACCTGCAAAATTGAGCAAAACAGAAACAAACAACATAAGTAAAGAAAAAATCTATCACTATCTCATCATCCAAAATAACTCATGTAAAGGCAACAGCAGGAACTTTTATTGGACTCGATTTTAGGCTGTCAAATGGTAATGATGCCAATCAAATAACCAAAACAAATATTGAAACCGTCGGGAATTCTAGTGAGTTAGCATGCAGATGCAGTCAACTAAATCAACAATAAGATGACATAACCACAAACAAACAGATGGCACCACTATGAACATGCAGCTGAGACCACAAATTTATAACCACCTTAAAACGAGTGAAAGCGACAAAAGAGAGATGTGAACATATGAATAGGGCTCCATATAAAAGTAGATCGATAGATTAAGGAAGTCATCATTGAATAATTTTTAATGTAAAATAAATCTCCAATAATTTCAAAATATGTATGAGCGACTATCACCAATAGGCATCACTAGTGCTTAGAAGTATCTTGTATTTCCAGATTATGTTCAAGTAGAAAAACGAAAGGCTAGAATATTCGCAAGAAGAAAGGCCATCAACATATCCAGAACCTCATCTTGGTTGGCACGATTCCATCGAACAACATCAAGTTGCAGATCAACAGAAAGGTTCAGCAATTCTGCTGATGCATTGTCATTGTATCCTACAAGAATGGCATTCAAAATTCTTAAATGCTAAATATTCTTAAACCGAAAAGGCAATTTCCTTGAAAATAGTAAGGAGTACAAAAATGTAGTAGAACCTATGCTGAAAAGGGTACTCAGAGTCTGTGAATGTTCTGTAACAATCAGTTCTCTTTCCTAAAAATTGCATATTATTTTCATAAAGTGGGACAAGGAGTTAAAGGACTGCATGAAAGCCATAATATCACACATAATAAAATGGCACTTATGACTTCAACTAACTATACTTGTAAAACATAAAGAAGCAGGTTTCCAAGAGTCCAAAGTCTTGCATAACAATCACAAAGTAAAAGATGATACTTTAAAAAAAAAAAAAGCAAACTGACCCCATCCTTTCCAGAGATAGTCACAGCATGACAATAAACACACACTAATTTCCTTGAAAATAGTAAGGAGTACAAAAATGTAGTAGAACCTACACTGAAAAGGGTACTCAGAGTCTGTGAATGTTCTGTAACAATCAGTTCTCTTTCCTAAAAATTGCATATTATTTTCATAAAGTGGGACAAGGAGTTAAAGGACTGCATGAAAGCCATAATATCACACATAATAAAATGGCACTTATGACTTCAACTAAATATACTTGTAAGACATAAAGAAGCAGGTTTCCAAGAGTCCATAAGTCTTGCATAACAATCACAAAGCAAAAGATGATAATTTTCAAAAAAAAAAAAAACTGACCCCATTCTTTCCACAGATAGTCACAGCATGACAATAAACGCACAATAACAAGTCAATATCGCAATCAACCGTATACAGATTTCATGTACATGCAGCCATCAGAAAGTCTTCTAAAAGAATATAGCCAAACCTACATTAAACTTCCTTCTATTTTGCATAATTAAAACAGTCCCACAATTTTATTTAAGCCCAAGTTCCATTTTTTAGCCTTTTTTTTTTTTCGATGTACCCCCAGTTCAGACATTCAATATCCGAAATGGGACCTTCTTGTTTTCTAGCAAAAAAGCAATTTGGGCATGGGATGTCCAAACCAATATTTTTGTAACTGGGGGATTTTGGACATCCAATGTTTGAAACCACTTGGGATAATAAAAAAAGGACAAGAGTACTTGTCCTTTTTTTCTTATCCCAAAGATGGATTGACATTGGTGATTTGAACAGCTTATATCACTAAAAAATCATTTGAGCAGCCCAATTGTTGAGAGCAATGGCGAGAAGTATGGACACTCGAAATTTGGGCTTAATCCCATGTAAAGAAAAAAAATCAAAATACAGGATATTCTTGAGTGAAAAAGCAGCTTGGACGTCCACTGGCCAAACAAGTCTTTTACGCTAAAAAGTGTAAGTGATTCGAACATTGGATGTTCAAACAGTCCATACTTGTCATTTTTTTGGTCAACAAAGCAGTTTGAACATCCAATGTCCAAACTGCCTCAAAATACAAAAAATATATTAGATATATGTTCGAACTTGTTCGTTTTTTACTTTGGAAAAAAAAAAGGACCAACATTGGACATTGGATGTCCGAACAAGGGATAATTCAATGACTTGAGCATAAATAGAATTTACACGAGACTATTTTTAAATACCACAAAACAAAAGGGATTTTAATGTGATATATAAGTGATCCTGAGAAATGGTTTCACCTATTCGAGCATTTAAGTGATTCAAGAAATCCATCATTCAACACCACTCCAAGAGAGGCTACAGACATTTTTCTAGCAGTCTCCTCGATACCAAACGAAATTTTGCTATCCTAGATTCCTCAACAAACCCGGAGTCTAATACTACTCTTGCTGACTCTCGATGCACTAAAGCCTTCACAAAAATTGACAACAGTGGTATTGGCATATACAAACATTGATTAAAAGTTTCTCCCAATGAAATTTTTATGACTAGTGACACTCCATGGGATGATCCACCTAACATACATTTCAAATTGACGTTGTTCAGCTCCGAATAGTCAATAGATACGCCAACATTCAAAATAAACATAAATACATACATAAATATATACCATAGCATATTACAGTGTCATGTATATAAATATAGCGACACACATGCATGGACATGGCCGCATGCGCACACACACATATAATATAGGAAACCAGAAGTTCTACAGTACTTTACCCATGGCTCAAAAACCGCCCAAAATCCATCACATGGTCACGGTTGTCCAATAGTGTTTGAATCTTAATATTTTTTTCACATGAGATTTATCTAAAATTTTGAAGATAGGAAAGGCTTCAGGACCAAATTGTATCCCGATAGAGGTTGCAATTGCATGGGGGAGATTGGCAAGTGTTGGCTTACCAAGTTGTTCAACAAGGTGTTAAGAACAAAGAAAATACCAGACAAATGGCAAAAAAGTATTGTGTTACCTATTTACAGGAACAATAGAGACATACAGAATTGTACGAGCTATCGAGGGATTACACTAATGAACCAGACGATAGAGTTGTGGGAGAGAGTGGTTGAGCAACGACTAAGACGTGAAATGAGTGTAACAGAAAGTCAGTTCAGTTTTATGCCAAGAAGTCAACTATGAAGCCATTTTCCCACTTAGACAACTGATTGAGAAGTTTAAGACACGTTTGGTTGGTGTGAAAATATTTTCATAGTAAAATTGCCTTACACATGTTTAGTTAGAGGGAAGAAAGCATATAACAACAAAACCCATGGTAAAACATTCAACCATAAAACGGTCCACTTTCCATGAAAACAAAACCACACCTCAACCCATGGGGAAGCATTTCTCGAATTTTATTCACACACGAACCCACTATTCATTATTCACCGTTAACTATTCACTATTTACAATACAACATATATTATATAACATTTTAGTCATATATTTAATATAATATCATATTATATAATAGTATATTCATAATATTATATTATATTATACTAATAATATTATATACTATTATATTATATTAAATGATACGATTGTATACAATGAGACCATTTACCTTTGGAACATGGATAACACAATTACTTACAACCATCCAATGTGAAATCTAATAGCTTGGGTGTGTCACAAAGTTCGAGAAAATTTCTTTTGAACTTTGAGCTTCGTCAAGGAAATAAATGGAGCCACCCATAGTCATATCCAATGGTCAAGATTAATTGTGACCGCCTTGTACCAAAGATAAAAGGTCTCATTATATACTTTTCCTTTTATTATATATATATATATTATATTTATATTTATATATTATATAATATAATATATGGGAAAAGTTTATATAAGGTTGCAACGTTGAAATGCAGAATCACAGATGCACCTCAAAAATTCATCGAAAATGTTGTTTTAATGTTGAAAAAGCCCTCTAATCAATCATCTCGACATCGAGATCTATGAATATGAAAAAAAAAAAAAAATGAATCTCAGAAATAGTGCATCTTGCAACACATTATCTAGACCGTCCATTTTCAAAACTTTCACATATTTATAGATCTACCTGATTTTAACCATTTTGGAATTTAAGGCGCGCTTTAATTGGATTAAGGTTGCAACCTTATAGAAACCGTACCCATAATATATTTATATAATATAACTTTGTTATATGATATTTCATATATATTATTTTAATAATATTTAAATAATGCATGTATAAATTTAACATATTCACAAAATATACTTAAATACCAAACAAGTTACCAAACATATGAAATTCATTACATAGAGTGCTTTTTAAATGTGTAACATGGAGTTAAGAAAGTTTAAAATAAAATCATGCAAAGTGTTTGCATATGTAAATATTTTTCCTGGGGAAATATTACGCACCAACCCAAATGTGCCCTTAGGGCGAAGCGAAAAGACTTGAACATGGTCTTTATTGATTTAAAGAAAGCATATGATAGAGTACCTAGATATTTAATTTGGTAGCTGTTGAAAAAGAAAGGAGTTACCAGATGCTATATTGACATAGTGAGAGATATATACAAGAGAGTACTAACTAGTGTGCAAACAACTAGCGGAGAGACAACTGAGTTCGCAGTAACAATAGGTTTAGTCCATATCTCTTTGTTTTGATTATGGAGAAGTTAACCAAGCACCTACAAGATGCGTTACCATGGTGTATATTGTTCGCGGATGACAATTTTGATTGATGAGACTAAAGGGGGCATAAACGCGAAGTTAAAATGTTGGAGGGATACTCTAGAATCTAAAGGTTTTAAAATTAGCTGAACTAAGACAAAATATATGGAATGCAAGTTTAATAATAATAGGAGTAGAAACAAGGGAGTAATTAAGATTGCTGGTAAATAAATACCTAAAAGAGATTGTTTCTGATAACCAGGGTCGATAATCTAGGAGAATAAAGAGATTGAAAAAAATGTCGAGCATAGAATTAGAGCTGGATGGGCAGCAGTGATTCAAAAAGCGGACCGCCCAGTGCCTAGGCGGTCCAGAAGGCCTGGGCTCATCGCCCAAGCCTAGGCGGCCAATTTGGGCGGCAGTACCTGGGTGGCTGCCTAGGCGGGCGCCCAACACCCAGCCCAAGGCGGCCGCCTAGGGCCTGCGCCCTGCCCAGAGGCGGAATTTTTTTTTTTTGTATTGATTTTTTTTTTTAATATAAAGGGTTAGAATGATGGTTTTAAGTTCATTTGAAACCTAAAACATATTGGAGCCCATTTTAGAGAGATAAAGCCTCCAAAAACCTAGTTTTTGATGATTTCTTTAAGATCGAAGGGTTTTTCAAAGTTGACAAAAATTGATCAAAACATCACCCATTGATATTAGATTTAATTTTTGATGTTTTATAAATCTATTGGGGGGTTTTTTAGAAGATTTTGAGTCGTTAGAAGCATCTTTGAGGTGAAAGTTTGAAGATTGAGCAATCAATACTCAAAGTAAATGCCCTACATACCTAATTTTTATTTTTGTATACTATATATCCTTTTTTTTATTCAAATGGGCATCCTTTTCGAATTCAACTGGGCCGCCCAAGTTCTGGGAGCCCGCCTAAGCGCTAGGAGGCCTGGACTCCCGAGCCGCGTCGGACCCGCCTAACGCTTTTTGAAACACTGATGGGTGGAGTGTAGATGTGCATCCTGATTTTTATGTGATTGCTGCATACCATTGAGACTAAATGGTAAATTCTATAGGACAGCTGTAAGACCAGCCAACTTTATGAAACAGAATGTTGGGCAGTCAAAAACCAATATATCCATAGGATGAGCGCAGCTGAAGTGAGGATGTTGAAATGGAAGTGGGAAGACAAAAAATTATAGAATTTAAAATGAATACATATGAGGGAACCTAGATGTGGTTTCAATAGGCGATAAGAATGGGGAAAAGTAGACTTAGGTGAGCTGGCTATGCGCTAATACAACATCCTTTAGAAGGTGTGATTTGGTTCAAACGGAAGGCTCTAAAAAGGCAAGAGGTAAGACCAAAAGGACATGGATAGTAGTAAGAAAGATATGGTGACTTTTAGTCTTATTGAGGGTATGGCCCTTGATAAAAAAAAATGGGAGAACACGATTCATGTAGCCGATCCCAAATAAATGGGATTAGGCATAGTTGATGATGACGATAAGATTTATCTGAAATTTGGGGCATGTGTATATATTACCAACTCACACCCAAAAATAATTGTCAAACGATAAAATGACAAAATACCATGAAACTTTAGAGGGGTATTTTGGTCATTTGATAGTTCAAATTAGTTTTTTATATTTTATCCAGGTGCGCCTCACTAAGGCATACAAACCGGCAAAATTTCAAGACTATGATTTGTAAAAAAAAATTAAAATTCAAACATTATCGGATAATTGTGACTGCATGATGGACTTTGGACAGTGGTAGGCTATGGGTGAAGTACTATAGAGCTTCACCTATAGGTGTTTGTTTGTATGTGTGAGTGTGTCTATATATATATATGTGAAAACCCACACAGCCCCACTAACAAGAGCTCACATAGCTCTTACTATAGAACCAAAATTCATTGCCTCAATGATAGATGCTTCATCTAATATGGGCTATATAAAAGATGACAACCTTAATGCATAGAATACACAACAAAGTGGAGTTAAACTTAGTCCCCAATCTAAGTCGTCCAAATCCTTTATATGTCTTCAAAACTGGGATTGCAAAGCTATGCTTCCCCATCCACCTTGTTGGAGTCCAATGGAGACCAAAGAATGCCCCAATGCAACGTCCATCTTGTTGCACTCCAAAGACACTCCAAACAAACATTGTCTTGCTCAGGAAGCCAATATAGTAGTATTCAAGACAACAAATGAGCGATCTTCCACTTAGGAACTTAAAAAGGAGGAAACATTGAGACCTGTCATTGTCCCTTAGCCAGGCCTTGTATTTCCCTAACTCTCAAGAGCTACATTACTTTAAATGAACAAGCACTAGTGCTAGTGTAAAATAAAGGAAGCAACACTATGCCAACTCATCCATGCCTTTTATAGAACACTGAACCTGCTGTCTGTTGGCCCCAATCATGAACTCTAGAGGTGTAAATGACATGAAGACAGATGTAAACCCATCAAATTTAAATGTACTCCTTGGGACAATGCAGATCTTGATTAGCCTCCACCAAGGATACCCAGCCTGACTAATGAACTATCCATAGCAACCCAAGAGGTTGTCCAATTGTTTGACAATCTAAAAGTGACCAGAGACAATAGGTAGCCGACAAGAGATCCTGGATTTCTTAAAGAAAAGTTGTGCTATTTTCAGATACCTGTACACAAAATGTTTCGCAGAACATCACAAAGATTTACATATAAAAAAAAAAAGAATTATCATTTCCAAACAACACTCCAACATTGAGATATCTAAATAGTCTGCTGGTTGAATTTCATCATGAGGAAAAACATAGGAACCAGGAATGCCAAAAGGGAGTAATTTAAGGCGACTTCGATAGATTTAACTTTGGTAGATTTATCAAAAGGTATGCCACTCGAGGAATTTCAGAAATGCCACCTCACAAGTTTCATGAATGCTAGAAGGTTTGATGGGCATTATCATCAAGACCTTAAAAAAAAAAAAAAACTATGGCTGCTTGGATCCTAGGAAATCTCAATCCAGAACTGAGATTCGTGGCTTTGGGGTATTCAAACCTGTTTGACACCCAATGAACACCCAAATCCACTAGGATTTATGCCTTCCCACTTGGCCCCATATCCTGGATTCATCAATCCCAATAAAAAATAATTATTTACAAATCTTTGATTTGCATATCCAAGTTTGCATGGTTAAGAGAGGGAGGAGTTAGAAAGAAAAAGAAGTTGCAAAGGGAGAGAGAGGACAGAGTTAAAGGCACAGTTAGAGATAGAAGAGTTACAGAGAGAAGCAAAAAAGGAGTTACATAGAGATAGAGAATGGTTAGAGAGGGGTTAGAGAGAGAAGGGGTACAGTTAGAGAGAGAAAGAACTTAGAGAAAGGGAATGGTTAAGGAGAGCGAGGAGCAAAAGAAAGCGGTTAGAGAGACAAAGGGCATAGAGAGAGCACAATTAAAGAGCGAGTTAGAGAGAGCAAGCACAGTTAGAGTGATCATGCACAACTAGAGAGAGAGAGAGAGAGAGAGAGAGAGTAGAG